GACGTGCTTAAAACTGAGACGTTTTTCCTTTGAGTTTTCCGACACCATCGTCAAAAACACGGATACGGGAAAACGACTAAAAGCGCTGTGTTCTGCTGCCAGGCCACTAGATGGCGATAACACTATAGACTGAACACGTAATACGCATGAGCATGACGTCATCGGTTTCAGAGATTCGCGTTTTCTGTTGTTTTCAGGCGCCCAAAGCGCTGTCGTCGTGTAAACCAACGGCCAAAACGTTTAAAAGGTTTTACGTTTTTAGTTGAAATGGTGTCGTGTAAACCATAGATATCCATAATAAAGGCTAGATGTCTCGTCCGCACTGCTGGCCAATGGAGGTCGACGTCCGCACTGGCGGCCATCTTGCCACAGGCAGTTCGCTCACTCGTAACATTGTGTTTTAATAGTGCATGTACTTTTTAAATAACCATAACTTGCTCAATTTTCTACCGATTTTCAAACGGTTTGGTTTGTTATAAACGTCAGAGATGTAGTTATGACACTGCATACTTATGAATAATAAGTGTATAAATAAATAATCATCCAGAATTATAGCCACGTTAATAACGTTTGTAAGAAACCAAACCGTTTGTAAATCCGTCAAGATTTCAATGAGATGAGAGTATTTGTGTTCGTGCCGATCGCTCATCTTACATCAGGCACCACAGAGCCCGCCAGAAAGCTTGCCTGTGACAAGATGGCCGCCGGTGATGACCATAGAGACTCCGCCGTAAGACATCTAGCCTTTATTATGGAGATCTATGGTGTAAACAGCCCATAAGTCTACCGGGTGCTTGTGGAAATTACAGTGTGTCAGGCAGGAAATCCAAACGTTCTCGTTTCATCCGTCGACACGATTCTGGATACATTGAGAATTACGTGTTTTTCTTTTTCTTTCAAAGATTCTCCCACGATTCTGAACAGACAACTAAAGAGAAAACTAACATGTAATTTACTAGACGTTCTGAACAAAATGTTAATTGCTGCAGTTTATTTCAAAATGTAAAAAAAAATTGGGGGGGGGGGGGGGAATGAATGATTAAATTACAAAATAATTTTTTTAACAGTCACGTGTCGCCACCTACTGGTGTAACGCTGTAATTGATACCATCGTTATTTGAATCGCCGAATTACTTTCGATAGGTGATTTGCTCTGTTGTGATCGCTTCCTTAGTGTTTATATCCGAACTTTGAACTTTTATTTGATCATTTGAATATTTGTTACATAATGATTCTGTGTGATTGAGTCTAGATAGATATCAGATTTGAATTTTCCAGTGGGATTTAGACACGTTGTCATTTATGAATGAAATTGTGTGGGTTTTTGAATCGAGCTAATGATTAATTGTGCAGCTCTAAAACGAACCAATTCAAATCAAAAACAAAAACTCTTTGCTTATGTAATCCATATGAAAGGTGCATTTCTCTATATATATTGCGGAGATGGCAGAACTGACTCGGAAAACACTATTTCATTAATAAATAATAAAAATTGCTAATTTACGACACATTCATAATCAATACGGTGTTTTGCGTCAAGCTTTATGTGTGCTCTTGAGCGTGGAATATGCTATATATATCGCCTATATATATATATATATATATTTTAGGCTCATTATGGTTCAGTACTCTCCTCAGTATAAATTTAAGTAATTAAATGAATATTAAACGTGCGATTAGTGGACCGATGGCTTAAACGCACGACTTCTAGTCGACTATGAGAGTCGGGGGCAGCCCGAGTTTAAAACTCTTCCATGAGATTTCTATCTTTTTTTATCAGTATTTTCAGCGATGTTGCACATGGCACCAACTTTTTGAACTCAAACTTTGAAGCGTCCCTCGAGGACGTTGATCTATGGTGCTGGATGTTTGTGTTTTGTACGTGTTTTTATGTGATTCGCCTGTGCCTACATGGATAACATGCTGTCCTCACAGTGAACGCATGGCATGATGGTCCTGAAACACTCTTACTGAACACCTACAGCCGTGCCTTCATGAACGTGGGACGTGGCTTCATGTCTAATCATTATCTGTTGAACTATTTATCAGTTATTTAAACACCAAACTGCTGTGCCACCAAATATATCTTCACATGCATGTGTTGGGAAATCTGATTGATTCAGCCAAAGTCATGCCATCTCAAAAACCGATTGCTTTGTCTTTTATACTTGTGTTGTTTTGAAACCATGTTCGTCCGGTGTGTTTTTTCTTCTCTTAAAATGTGTTTGGATGGTAAATATCCACATCAAACCACCCTGTTATCAATAAACGACCTTCTTTTGACACGCGGGCACCATGTTATTTCACAGGTTGCATGTTATCGGTGGAAACGGTTCTTCTCTTATCGAGGCGCTTCATAAGTGGCGACTGCTGGCGGTCCACTGTGACCTTGTTGCTAAGCAACCGCCGAGGGTCGGCCTACATCCGGTGCCGATCCGGTTCTGCAGAAAGTGGCAATCAAACCCATTTATAGGAACATTGGGTAAACAGTCATTAGGCACCATTACGGGTCAAAACACAAGGGTTATAAAAGGATTTTTTCACTACAGGTGATTTATTAAAGCATGCGGCTCCATATGTGGCCACTCTCAAGTTTCTTTAAAAACATTTCACTTAAAAACAGATCCGATTATTTCTTTTTTCTGTTTGTCGAATGCCGTTTTTAAAGTGTTGGGCTCTGACATGATTATTCTCAATCTTTTCTTGCCGAGTTTGTACGGCTTTCAATCTCCACACAACACAATTCTAATCTCCCGTTTCGGGAATCCGGACCTCGCTTGACTTTCGGTGTTGTTGTGGATGATAAAGCCTCGGTGTGTCGCGTTCCTCGCCATCCTTGACTGTAAGTACACCCCTAACTTTCAATATTTCTGATTATGGAGAGAAATTAACTATTGATTTATTTGCAGTGCACAGACACACATGCAATACTGTATTAGCAAGGCAAAAGATAGAGGGGAACATGACATAAATGAACCCCTGATAACCTGCAGCTGAATAGTGTTTCTCATGAAGAAAGCCCAATCAGATGCCAAATAATATAAGGCATTTGTGGCGTTTACTGACAATGTAATCAAAATCATTTGATGTGTGAGAAATTGCGCTAATGGAGCAAATGAAGATTAATTTTAATTACCTCATTTACATGCACAGCAAAATTATTATTAATATTGGATTAATCGTAAACATGTTTTTCACAATAAAAGGAACAGAAAAATACATTTTTATACACCAAAATGATACAAATAAATACAAATTCTGCTCACAATGTTGCAAATCTGGTATGAAAATAACAAAAAGTTGCCAAGTCTGCGTGTTTCCTGCAAAATTGGGCTAATTTGACATAAATATGTGACTGAAATGCTTGTATTGAAATATTTTATGATGAAACTGTGCTATATGTTCAGTTTTGTGATCACTACAATATATTAGAGGTGTAACGAGACCCTCATCTCACGATACGATATTACTGCGATACTCAAGACATATGATACAAGATTAACAAAAAATGCACTGTTGATTAAAATGCTGAATTTGATATCATTGTGTGTGTAAATGAATAGTGTTGGACTCAGTGCTGAAACCCAAAGCACAGGACAATAGAGACACCAGAATAACAATATTCATGATTCTGAAGCTGAAAACTGAATTATTGTAGATGAATATTTGATCTCTGTCACTGACTAGATATATTTATAATAATGTCGGCCACTTTGCCTGGTAACATCAGACATCTGGCATTATCAGCACACACATTGCATTATTATACATTATATTCAACATTATATACAGTATAGCAGTTTAATGTAGAACTGACACTAAAACTCTGAAAACGTGTAATTTTTACTTTGGGTGAACTATACACAATACTACATAGTCACTGTCCACGATACATATTGTTGCATTTTTGTATTGCGATTTATTGTGACGTGATATATATTGTTACACCTCTACAATATAGTGTTGTTTCATTTTTTTATAACAGTGACTTTAAAATGTATATTTTATATATGGGAATGGCATATTTTGAGTTTTGATATTTGGGATATGGTCATTTTGGCTATTTTTGATTTTTCATTAGACATGGCAACCCTGAACAGCATTGGTGAACAACATGAAGATATAGTAAATAATTTTTTTCAAGAGCATGCATGAGCTTTTTGTTTTTAAACCAGAATATAGATGTTCATCGGACAATGCTGTGCATGCAAACATGGTTAGTGAGGATATCACTTGAAATTGAGATGTGTATTCTGTGGTAAATGTAGTTCTTCTCCGAGAGCCAGACGTCGAGTTCGTCTGCACCGTGAACTTGAGATCTGGCAGAAACCCTTCAGCTCTTATTGAGTCGTGTCTCCAGCAGATCGCCTGTCATGTCAGGCCTCACGAGATCACAGGTCGGAGAACGTGTGCTGACAGACACCCGGATCCTCCGTCAGACGTCCATCACGCCGGCTCCTGAGGCGCGACTGGGAATGTCAGCATGTCAGCTGTAGTGTTTCAGGACGAAGGGAAGCTTATAAATCATGGGAATTTCATCGCTAGACATGCGACAGGAGCGACACGGCAAATCCCCGTACGAAGCCAGTCAAAGTTTTTTTCCACAGAAACCCAGGAGCCTTAATGTCCCAGTCTCCTTCTGTTCGATTAGCTTTTCCAGAGAGAGAGAAATGTCCATTTTTATCAAGCGTGCTGCAGGGAAAGTCAGGAGAATATCACACCGTCCTTGAGAAGCGCGTTAATGAGCGGCTACACGGCTAAAGCCCGTTAACGCTCCAACAGCGATTTTCCAAACTTGCGGAGAGATATAAATAAATAAAAGTAGACGATGTGCAGCTGCAGACTGAAGATAACTTCAGCACGGACTTCGGGAGCTGATAAGAAGTCACACACTTACTGTTTATTACGAGGGAAAACTGAAGAACGTTTCTAGATTGAGTAAACCATCATCCTCGTGTGCAATCAATCGATTTTTGGCTCCATCTGTTGAAAAAAAGAGC